AGGGGGACCAGAGGAGGCCACAGAAATGATCCGAGGGCTGGAACCCCTCTGCTGTGAAGAAAGGCTGAGAGAGTTGGGGCTGTTCAGCCTCCAGAAGAGAAGGCTCCAGGGAGACCTGATTGCAGCCTTCCAGTACCTGAAGAGGCCTACAAGAAAGATGGGGACAAATTTTTCAGCAGGGTCTGTTGCGATAGGACAAGGGTAATGGGTTTAAACTAAAAGAGGGCAGATTTAGACTAGACAGAGGGAAGAAGTTCTTTACAGTGAGGGTGGGGAAACGCCGGCTCAGATTGCCCAGAGGGGTGGTCGATCCCCAATCCCTGGAAACATTCAAGGCCAGGTTGAACGGGGCTCTGAGCAACCTGCTCTAGTGAAGATGTCTCTGCTCACTGCAGGGGGGTTGGAGTAGGTGACCTCTAAAGGTCCCTTCCAATCCAAACTATTCTATGATTCAATAATTTGACCAGTAGCTACCTTACCACTGTACAAGACAGACAGCTCAAGTGTATCTTCATATTCTACCGCTGTTCAGAGCTGCACAGAGAGAATAGTCCCTGTGATGCACTCCTCCTAAAGCTGCACATGGATCACCAGGAAATCCAATCTGAAGCCCAGGATCCACATCTCTGAAAAAAGCTGCATCAGCACCCAGACAAAATACAAAGCCCCAGCCTGAATGCCTGAAAATGTGCCTGGTTCCCAGCACAGCTATATGGGGAACTGCCTTTCTCCTGCCAGTCCGCTGCAGAAAGAGATGCTTGAACAGCCACCATGATGTAGGTCAGAGGGACCTGGATCTCCTGGGACAGACCCTGCCCTGTCTACCCCTGAGCTAAATTGGACTTGTGTTTATAGGTGACTCAAACACACGTCCTGGTAGCCGCTTTTGAAAACTGGGAGATCGCTGCTGAAAATGCTGATCTGAATCATGCATACATTCTCTACTACAGGCTGGTTCCCAGCGCAGGGATTTGCAGGTGTGTACGGTCATCTGAACTGCAACTGTCAGGAGAGCACCATCCCTCTGGAAGCCCATTCTCAAAATGTGAGGACTCCGTACTCCTCCTGCTTTCAAGTTAAGATCCAGGTGCAAAATAATTTAAATTCTAACTAATAGATGGAGACACATGACACCTTCCTTCAAATACCCATATAAATATCCAAAAGTCTTCAAGGTCTTCTTAGGAATGCAAAGTTTTTGACAAACATAAGTACTTGTATGTTTATTTTTCCAAATTAATGAGTCAACTGGAAAACAGAAAAATGGGTATTAGGAGGTCTGCTAAACCAGAAGATCTAGCCCTTTGCTGTACCAGGCACCATCTCATAAAACTGCTATCATGAATGAATTCAAACTTGTGAAACTTTTTTTTTCCATCCCTGTTACACTAAAAGCCTGCTGTAGACCCTTACCCTGGTCACCAGAAGCTTCCTTTCAACTTTCAAACTCATTTCCCATGTGTTCCGACAACTCTTCACCCCTCCCTCAGGTTTATCCGCATCAACGTGTTTCTGCAGACAGCCCTATTCCTTTGATTCTCCCTTTTGTTAAGCCAAGCAAATGAAAGTGCTTCCACAATCACTTCTCATGGGAGACTTCCTCATTCAACCCATTCAAACCCACCCTTCTGGAACTCAAGGGCCCAGCACCTGCAGAGCAACTAGCACTTCCTCGTCTTCAATGGAAACTCCTCCCCTGATGCATTCAAGGGCTGTGTTTGCCTTTTTCACACCTGCAGCCCACTCAAGACAAACTGCATCTGACAAGCCACCAGCGTGCCCACTACTTCCAGCCAAAAGGCTCTCCAACAGGTCGCAGCCGAAGCCCAGAGTTCCTGCTGCCAAACCTTGCATGCCATGCTGTGCGACTTCACTGTGCTTCTAATACTCCTGACCTAAAAATCACCCAATTCTTTCTGAGAACCATCCTAACCCTCTTCCAGCTCCGATTCTTCCTGACCATTTTGCTCTGGTTTGATTTTCCAAATCCAAAGGTCCTGTGATAGTTTCAGCCCTGATCGTTTCACAGCACTGGCAAAGGCTCTCAGAATCAGCCCAGAGGATGGCATTGCCACAAGTCCCCTCCTCAGCCTTTTCTCAACCCCCTTCCTCAGCTTACACAACTCTTTCAGGTTATTCACTGGTACTTACCTGGCAAGGGCAGAATCAGCCCTCAAAAGTACTTGAAGCAGCTTCAGGCTATGGGGGTTTTTGCAACTCCATAGCCTCAAGACAATGTAAAGATTAATTATTTCAGAATTTACTGTCTATTAGCATGCCATAGATGCCTAGTCCACAAAGAGTAAAGATTTCTACGTTTTCCCTATGAGGCACAAAGTCCCAAAGCGGACAGGGATACGAATGAGGATGCTGATACACCTACATCCATTAATAAAAACTACAAGGCATATGCCAAAGGTGAGCACACCTCTTACTGGGGTGTGTGGTGCAGTAACAGTAAGAAACATTCAATGAATTATTGCAAAAACGCATGAGGAACAAATATTATTGAATATTTTCCAGGAGAAACTACAACCATTAGCTGCAGTAGGTAAAACGTAAACTTAACATTAGCAAAAATTGTAATGATAGTTCAGTAAAGTAACAAGCTGCCAAGGAATGTCGTTGAATCACCTGTTAGAAGCACTAAGGGCTGGTCCAGACATCCGTCAGGAATGATTAAACATGAACAAAACCTAGCCCAGTCATTAAGCCAGTGAAGAACTATGACTCACCAGAACTCTCCTTCAGTCAGAGCAGCTCTCTGAAACAGCCCACCCAAGCTGGGCAGCAGCGAAATAGGGGCTAACCAGACTGCTGTCAAAAACAAAGACGCTTAGAAGTCTCTCTTAAACATAAAAAGACCATGCAGATGGCGTACTGGGTACGCTGTTGTTGTCCTCAATTCACAGGAAGCTAATTTTCTTAACTTCCACCGAGCATAAACATCCTAAATTCCAATATATGGAAGACAAGCTATTTTTTTACCTTTTTCAAATCTACAAACTCCATTCCTTACCAAAGTAATCGATTTTTAAAGAGATGTTACACTCTGAAACAGCCTTCTTTCTCTGGACAGAACGTCTGCTACAATATGGAATGATACAAAGCCAAAATCACTGAAGCAAGTAGAGCAGGTTAGGTTACGTAGCTGTAAGGTTTTTATCTGCTGGTATGGAGGGGAATATACCCGTCATGGGGAAGGGACGCACAGAATTAGACGGGTTGTCATCGTGGGTGCCCTCATTCTGCATGTCCCTACTGTTTTTTTTCAACCTCTACCAACCAGCCAAACCACTGAGTCTCTAAAGACGGTTTTATCAGAAATACCACTTACCAAAACATACCTGTAGGTTATTATCATTTACATTGATTTTTTTCATATATTTCACATATACACAGTTAGTGCATTTATATGACTCAAAACTGTAAAAGACTGAAAGATTCAAGCTAAGAGAGTACAAACAACAGTTTGGAGACAGTTTTTTCCCCAAGTCTTAAGTAATTCTAGTTTTTTACGCATTATCTATTAACTGGTTTAGTAAATCGGTTTAACAGGTCAATGACAGGCTATAACACTTTCAGCTCAAATCCTATAGCAAAATGTACTTTTACTAAGCTTTTCTGCAAAAGACACAGGGCCACCAAGTTTTTCCCTCCCTAAAATCACGGAGCCTGTTGCTAGGATTAGCAACAGCACATTTTGCAGACAGGAAGACAATGTCATCTCCTCACACCCCCTGAAATCGTCAACGGCAGCCAGAACATTCTGAGCAATTAATACGGATAAATACAACATTAATGTTTTCTCCAGCCTACCCTTTGAAGCACAGAGCTGTAAACAGCACAATTAATGCACGCCTACATTTAATTATCTAATCCAGTACTACTTCTAGTTAAGGCAGCAAGTAATTAGAAGCCTCTCTCAATCTCCCTCTTATTCAGCCAAACCACCTTCTCATCTGGGAACAAGGGAGATGCCGGGCAGTTCTGTACGGTGCTGCTTACCAGACAGCTGCTGTTCTGCAGTTTTGCTGTACATCGTATTCTGTGTTTTAAAACCAGACTTCAAAAGCTACAGAGAACTCTTAAATACAACTGAAGAGCTTCACTGTTCTCAACTGTGTCACCTGCAAACAGCACTAGAACAAAATGTCCTGGTTTTGGCTGGGAGAGAGTTCATTTTCCTCCCAGTAGCTGCTGTGTTTAGGATTTAGTATGAGAAAAATGGTGATAATACACTGATGGTTTTAGCTGTTGCTAAGAAATCAAGGACCTTTTTTAGTTTCCCATGTTCAGCTAATGAGCAGGTGTGCAGGAGCTGGGAGGGAGCACAGCGAGGCAGCCAGCCCAGGCTGGTATTCCATACCATGGACATCAGTATATAAATGGGGGCTGGCCAGGGGGCAGAGATCCATGAGTTACATCATCGTATACATATATTTATATACATAGTCTTTCTCTCCATCCACGAATTTTACTTTAAAAGTGGTGAGTGGGTAAGTGAGCACGCGGCTGTCTGGAGCTTAGTTGCCAGCTGAGGTGAAGCCAGGACACCAAACCAGAACAAGACGTTTACATGATGAGAATCTGTTTTTGAACATGGCACCTTCAGTTTTCAACCTGTTGGATTTACCTCTTTTACAGACAATGAGTTTAACTGTTGACAGACATATCAATAGTTTGCAAGAGCTCACTACACAACCAAATAAACTCAACAGCACATCATTTTTTCCTCCGAGAAAAGTTACCTCAAGGAAACTACTTATACTTATTTACAGAACATTGTCTCAATAGCACAGGAAGGCAAGCAAGCAGTGATCCAATTAAACTTCAATTCTCTGACGTGATACTGCCAAAAAGATTGCTTATGTACAGTGTGAGCCTACAGTTATTACATAACAAGCATTTGCTGGGTTCCCTTCATGGCAAGTGTTAATAGAAAGCTATGAGATGGTAACACTTCTTGTTTCTATTACAATATTTTTTTTATATTCATTCTACAATTGTCTGCCTATGCTCAAATGGAAGAGCAGAACAAGACAAAAAAAAAAAAAAAGAAAATGTAACTTCTCTTTCAACTTACAGATTTAAAGCACTTTTTTTCTGGGTATTCCAGTCCCTTGAAACTGTACTGCCATTAAACACAATAATACAAAACACCAAAAGTGTAAGTACTGCATCTTTGAGACACAGCAGAGACACAACTGCACCCAAGTGTGATACTATGCTAATACAACAAGAGACAGTTCTCATGAAAAACAGTGCCTTTAAGACAGCAAATTACTTTACCCAATGCCAAAACCAGTTCACGTACATGCAGGTGTTTTTATAACTCCATTACAACAGTGTCTGAGGACTAGAAATGTTGTACATGCATCACAGTACTCACTGGGGAAACAGAGGAGGAGTTCAGAAGAGGTTAGGGTTTCCTCCCCCCCAGTAAATATGAAGTATACATTTGTGTACAGTGTACACAAAGGTATAAGGAAAGTATACATAGGGTTTCATTCATCTCTTCATGCAAGTTTGAACTGATCCAGCAGAGAAAAAGCCATAAAAAAAATCCTACCTCGCCTGAGACAATGAAGGCTTTCCACATGCCAAGATTCTCACACCACCAGTCCGTTCTCGCAATGTGCAGCTGAAGGTCACTGTGCTCTCTCTCCATCAGAGTAATTTCATCCTTCAGCTTAGAAACAATCTGCGGAGGAAAGTTTATTGATTAGTATTATTAAGAAAAGGCTCATGCAATACATGCCTAGTTATGTCTTTAGGGACACTATTCAGAAAGGAGAAAAGGTAGAAAAGCATGGAGAGAAAGAACAATTCACAGGGGAAAAAAATCACGACACAATCTATGATGTCTCTTACAAACTTGTAGACTATACGGTAATCTTAAAGGTCAACCCCGATACTAAAACAGAAAACAAGTTAGTAGCATGTCCTTCTATCACACTACCAGCATAAAAGGCACTTTAGAAAGGATTATATATTACCCCTTTTATGTTTTATACAAATTTGAAATTGCAATTACTGAAATGTGTATTACTGAAGACATCCTCCTTACCCTTTTCAGATATATATGATGCGACTGAAGAACTTGGGGACAGATTTCATTTCTAGGAACGCAGCTATGTTAAAAATCACCCAGGAAGTCACCAATTAATTCACTTTAGTTTTGGAAAAGGAAGGATTTATTATTGTGGAAAGCACATATTTAGAAAGATATTCTCATCAAGACATAGCTCATCATCTCATTAAGGAGAAATAGTCTATCTTGTCACATCAGCAAAAAATGTAAGTAACCATACATACTACCAGGAGACAGTATGACAAGAAAAGTCTACATAAGATGTGACATTAGAAACACAGCAAATGAAGGTGACACTTTTTTTCTAAATATGATATACCACACAGTCTAATTTATGAGTCTTAGCTGTATGACTTGCACCAGAAGTGGCACGTCCTACAGAGCTACAGCAATACTGTCTTTTTCAGAATTTTTGCAAGATGTGAGATATTATCTACACAACAGCTATATAACAACCTTATACCTAACCTTCAGGATAATTCTGCATTTTATTTTATTTACTGTTGACATATAGATTGCTCTGCAGTCACCTTACACAGACTCCTCTAAGTGGCATCCAGGAACAATCAATAAATACAGAAGAACTGGTGAGGTTTCATCATAAGTAAATATCTGCTATGCTTCTAAAACAAATACTAAGACTTTACAATGACTCTGGATCCATTTTATCATTCTGTTTCAAAGACGTACATATTTTCAAAGACAAACAACATTTTAGCAATAAAAAAAATACAGGGGGGGAAAAAATCACTACTTTCAAAGGGATACAATCCCCACCTCCCAAAGAGCTTAGGTATAGAAAGAATATAGCTATTATTTCTCAAGAATGCAAAGGGAACGTACAAGCGATACATCCACGCGAACGTAACAATGTACAAGGGTTTAGTTATACAGTACTCTTCAAGTCAAAGAAAAAAAATTATAACTATAATGCTACAGAAACAAATGGTATGGTGTAACTCACACATTCACAAGCACACCCACTTTTGTTCAGTACTTGCTTTATACTTCTAACACTTTCTGTCCATGGTGCACATTTTAAATTAAAACATAGTTGGTTATAAAAGAACCTTTTAGAAATTCTCGAAGTGAGCTTTATGTTCCCTCCTGTTACAGGTCCACTGGAAATACGAAAGATCTGAGCAAGTTAACATAAAAACCATAAAACACCTCCAACCTCCACTAATTCCCGATAGAGATGCAGGCATTTTTCTGTTCAGCAAAGTCCCATTTAATTTCAACAACTGTGTCACAGTTTTCTTTGAAAATGTGGCTTAGCAAGCACTAGAAAGTGCTCTGTGTGGAAAATGTTCAGGTTTTGCTTTGCTACTGAGGATGACAAGATTGAACCCTACAAAGAATGTGGTCCCTGCACATTTACTGTGGCTGCACAGGATGGCACAAGACCCCAGGGAGACGGCTGCTGAGCTCCGGGCACGAGGCACGCACCAAAGGCAGCACCACAGTCACAGACCTTCAAAGATCAAGCTGTCTCCTACGGCAGCGGGCTTTGTATGTCCGAGACATCACCTGAGACTGGCTGGCATCTTTTCATGTCATCTTTGCTACTCTTCATACTCCACAGAAAGAACTAAGACTTCTCCCTACAGAGCATTTTCTTTTAAAACTAGCAGCACTCCACGCACCATTCAAACGAGCAGTTTTCTTCCTTGAGTGACTGGGATCTGAGCTGCATGGTGCTGGAAGCCACTTCAGGACGTACATACATGTTTTGTGTGGGTCTCACAACAAAGGCATTTCAACCAGAGAAAACAACACAGGAAAAAATTCAGGTTAAAAAAAAATCTAATACAAAATGTGCATGATGTTTCCCTTCATATGGCGTAAAACTGTGGTGTTTTTAGAAACATTATTTACTTCATATGACCAACAACCAAATTTTCACCTGCTACGTCACAGAAT